ACAACACATGAAGCACCCCCGGCCTGACAACCAAGCCGCAACCCAAGGACACCTCCGGAAAACAGCAGACCCAAACTTCACCCAAAAAGAAAGGGAACTGCAGCAAACAAACAACCGACCACCAAAACCAAACTAGCAGAAAAACACACCAGAACCGAAGGGGCCACCACAACCGAGGAGAAGAGAAACCCCCCGGGCCAACGGCCAGAATGGCACCGGAAGCGCATAAGCATGCCGGAGGTGAAAAAACAAACCAGACAGCTAGCGGAATGGAGCAGAAGAAACAGCAACACCGAACGCAAGCCGGAACGATCCCGCCAGCGCCGCCTGAAATGAGGCGAAAGCATGCGGCACCCATGGAAGGTCCCAGAACAACCCGGAAAGGAAGGACAAGACAACCCCATCAGAGACCATAATACATCTACGCAGTGATAGGAAAAACCAGAAGGACCGCCAGGAACTACACACTGCCGCCGAGACAAAGCAAGCAGGTGGGAGACCAACAACGAAGCCACCAGTGCCCACACAAGAGACAAGAACTCGAGACAAAAAAAACCCGGCCCGAAGATCCGAGGGGAAGAACGAACCAGCCGAGTACAGGGCTCGACTGAACCGCAAAAAGAGGCGGAGCCGCAGGAAGACCCCAGGATCGGACACCGAACAAAGAAGCACCCCAACCAAGGGCAGCAAAGAACCAAAAGGAACAGCCGCCAGATAACAGGAAGAGGCCAACAAGGAAATGAGGACCACGAACTGAAACACGAAGCGAAAAACAGCAACTCGGCAACCCGCAGGAGCAGCTCAAACAGCTCCAGCAGGGAAGAAGGATGGACACGTCATCGAGGTATATAGGAGGAGAACTACTCAGGATGTGTACCACACGAAAACAAAAAGAACGGCCCCGAAAGGAACACAAAAGCATTAGCGAGGACCATAATCCTAGCCCCACCAGCCCCAATGAAAAGAAATCGCAGGGGCAGGAGTTGGGGAACGAAGCAACACCCACCCACAGACAGTGTAAGCATCTCTGATACCACATACAAAAGACCAAACCTGGAGTATGTGGCCCCAGCATAGAGCCCGTACCCCATAGGAAAAAGTGCAGAGGCACGCCACAAGGCGAGCCCCAGAGCTAAGAGGCCAGAGTGGCGAGGACAGGCTGCAGGAATGCAACTCACGAAACGAAGACAGAAGAGGAAGGGGAGACAAGAACACTACCCAAAAATCTCAGAGGAATTGACAGGGTAAAGATAAAGATAAACAGGATAACACGTGCGGTACGCAAAGAAGGGGACATAGGTGGAAATTGAGTACCCAAATGAGCCACAGGGGACAAGTGAAAGAACCCAGCCAGTGTCAGAGCAGATAACAGATGGAAAGCCTGAGCCAGCGATGTGGCGGAGGCAGACACCAGACACAGCGTCAAATGTAAAGATGAAGGAGCCCAATAACTCAGAAACCGGGACACCAGGTGAACGACAGCTGAGAGACAGGACCCAAGAGCCAGAGCACAACCCCCGCAAGCCCAACTAAGGGAGGACCACTAGGAGAGGACAAAAACTGGCAGGGAAAAGAGAGTACAAGGAATACAGAGAAAAGATTCAGGCATCTAAAGATTAACCAAAAGGCACCGAATACCGAGGCTGCATCCCACAGTGTAACTAAGAACAAGATACACCAACCAAGGAAGGCCACAGCAAGATTATGCAAAGTGGCCAAGCAAAACACACAACACCCACACCCCACCAAAATTGAGAACCAGCACCTGGCCAACAATGTCGCCAAACTGCACAATCTCACCTGCAGAGCGGAAACACGACTGTGTCATGACACCGTGGAGCCGAGCAATATACCAGGAGCAACACTAGCGGAGTATGTCCAGAGAAGCGAGCCCAGCAGAAGACGAGGTGCAGTACAGAGGCGGAGGTGGAGCCACACCCAAGCCACTGCACACCCGTAGCAGAGAAAAGAATCGAGGTGAATTTCCCACATAAAATCCAGAACACCCCCAGCATCTAGGGGCAATGACAGGAGAGAGAAGACGACCGAGAAGGCGTAGAAAATCCCTGAGACCGGACGCGGAACACCAACACGTGTACACCTTCCAAAAACAAAACGATCACCCCGGCCCCGGCGCCCGAGGTACGAACCCCACCACCCGCTCTCCGGGTGGCGCGATTCGTACACCAGTCAGATGTACACATATCGTACACACACCAGCAAGGAGTATGTAACAAAAATGAGGCACGTCGAGACAAGGAGAGACAAAGGGAATACAAAATAAGGCGAAACTAGAATCTAAAGAAAACAAGTAGTACGGAAGAGGACCAACGAGTCCAAGAAAGGACTAGAGGGAAGCCTCACCAGAAGTCAACAGATGTTTCCATAATATCGCAAGCATTGAAGAGGGTCTTGAACTCCCGAGAAACTTGAGAAGTAAGCACAAAGGCACGGAGGCACCTATGGGCCCAAAGATACCCCTGAACAAGGGACATGTAGGGAACCTGAGACGAAGGGAACAGTAATGCGACATAACCGCTAAAAAGTGAGAAAAGGGGTGAAAGCACTCCCAGGAACAACGAAACCGACGTACCCGAAAGGACACGGAACCAAACCCGGGAAGGGGTAGACCCGAAAACACCTTGAACGCAGAGGGGGAAGGAATAACCCCCTCTGAGGAACTGCCAGCCCCGCTCCGAGGGTACAAAAAACCCAAAGCAGAGCCAAACGGGGCTAAGGCCCCCAGGCAACCCCTCCCCAACCTCGGGAACCTCCACAGCAGGACCCGGGGCCAAGCTGTCCCCCCCCCAAAGCCCCGGTCTCACAAGAAATAGCCGGGGCAGCCGTAAAACACTGAGGAAGGGAGCCCACTGGTCAGACCCTTATAGCACGGCTAGAGGAACAGGCTCAAAGGCCTCCGTCGCCACCCCAGAAGAGGAAAACCCCTGAGGCCGCCCGAGTCTCAACCCAACTAGACGCTGCCCCAACTCCGAAACTGGCCAACGGTTCGGAGCCTGAAGCAAGGGAAAGGAAGTATGCACAACCGAGGGAAAAGAACCAGGAGGAGCAGACGGAACCAGAGCCAAAGTGACTTCCACCCTCAAGGGACTCCAACAACCAAAATGGGGCAGTCTCGGGGCATATGGGGCTACAATGAACTAAGAGTGTAGCAGCAACCTAAACCGAGCATGCAACGCGGCTGCTGCCTGCACCCACATAACAGTATCAGAGGCCTGGGTGAACTGGAATACGAACAGACAACAAACATCGCACGACTCCGGGTCAAGGAATCCCCGACCCAACAGGCAGCATGGAGGAGGCAGAACCGGTGAGTGTCACCCTGAGACAAGGGGATAGAGTAATCTTCAATCTCACAAGACGCGAGGGGGGAACTCAGGGGTCACATCCATCGGACCACGTAGCCCCCACGGGGTTTCCAAGGGCCTTGGTGTCACGCTAAGGGAAGCCCAGGCAGGGTACTGCGAACCGGCGCCGAAGTCTACCAAACAAACCTCTAAAAGCTTAACCCACGGGATGTGTCCACTCATGGGGGCCTACCGGGAGACGCCATCAAAAAAAAAAGAAAGCACAGAACCCGACCAGCGAAGGGAAGAAAGTGAGACCCCTCCCACCAGACAGAAAAACAAAACAAAACAAAAACCCAGCAAGAGGACAACGTACCCAGGCAGAACAGAGCCGGCTGCTATAATGTTAGAAGACTAGCTGTGCAGCACCCTGAGCCCTACCAGTGATGACAACTGCCCCCTACCCAGGGACACACCAGGGCAAGAAAACCCCAGCAGACCCCAAGGGTGGCCAAGTTCTTACTGGGCATCTAGGGAAGGTAGCCCTAGGAACATGCAGCCCAAGTACCTCAGAATATTACTCCTGGCTCACACATCCCATGGAGAGACAGCCCACGTCACCAGACACAGGACTGAGAAAAAGAATTCTGGAGCCAGAGGCACGTGACTACACTATCAGCCAAGAACTGCCAGTTGGATCCCCAGCGTTGAGGGTTTGAGGCTCCCCTTCCCCGTCCCCCTCCAGGGGAGGGGGGAAGGTTGCGCTGACAGCGGTGCTGTGATGTGATGACGTCATGCTAGTTAGCTAATTTTGTTTGGGGGGAGTTCTGTCCACTCGTTCGGCTTTCGGTAGCAATATTTTCACCAGAATAGGGGTTTGTTTTGGGGCGCCTACCTTTCTGGGTGCCTGTCTCGGTCAATGGCAGACATAGAATGCTCCCAACCACACAGGGGTTTCCACACAGAGGCCATTGCTCCTCGTGCCTCTCTGAGGGGGCCAGGTTCTGACTTGTGGTCCCCGGTAGGCAAGAACTCCATGCACTTTGACTGATGCCAGAAAGTTATACATATCCATTCAGCCTGGATAGCTCCGGGGAGCCGAAGGGGCTTCCCCAGAAAAGTGTTCCAGGTTTGGGTTCCTTGGTTCAAAGTAGACTTTTATGAATGGCATGAGCTTGGTGTGGGCTGAATTGAGTAGAGCTTGCCGGGTCACAAGCACCAAGGGGCCACCAATAGGAACCCTCCTAGAAATATAAATTTTTTACCAGCTTTTCTATCATTGGCAAGAAGAAAATGATCCAAAGTGAACCATAACAAAATGGTGAAGGCACTTCCTATTGACAGTGCACAAATGATTAATTACATATCTATTGCTTCTATGATGAAATATTAATCTGTAACAGAATTGGCAGTGTAATCAGGTTATCTGAAATGCTGCATTAGTTCAAGGAAATCATGGGCCGAGTAGGACTACTAAACTTTCAGTGAATTATAAACATTAAGTGTACATTATAGGGTTCATATTGTTCACACCAACAATGTAATGGTAATGACAAGTTAAGACAATGATTTACATCAATTCAAATACTGGTCAGAAGGGCGAGATGTTTTACATGTAGATTTATATGAAAATACTGTACCAAGTTGCCATACGTACTTAGAGCGAGGACACAGCACAAGTTCCTTGTTACTCACACAGTAGAGGAAGCTAGGTTGGTGTCTTCATCTTTGAGCTTGCCATCAAGGGCCAGCCCCCACTTGTCCTGGTTGTTGCTCAGAAGTGGCGTCAGTGAGAAAACCTTACTGATGGAGAAACCAGGCCCCACAGGGCAGCCTTCCCTGCAACAACACAACCACTCCTCTGTGACCACCACCACCATCACCACCACTTCCTCACTACATCCACCACACCAACAACACCTCAACAAGTCTCATTTTTTATGGGCATATGATGCGTGTGCTTAACTTATTCGCATACTAGATTTACTTTTAGCCAAAATAATGAGCTTTTGAGACCATGTTGATGCTGGGAGTACAGCGATCTACTGCCACTTCAGCCACCACTCCCTGGAGAGGTACGCCACAGGTGCACCTAATAACTATTAGTGATTAGTGGTTAGTGTCTAAGCAGGCACTACTTACATTGATGAGGACGCCAGGTTGGTATCCTCGTGCTTCAGCTGGCCATCTAGAGCCAGACCACGTTTGTCCTTGTTGTTAAGAAGCAGGGGCGTGAGGTGCAGCACTTTAGAGAGGGTAAAGCCCGGCAATACAGGACACCCGTCCCTGTGAACGCACACCAGACACACGTCACCACAGCACCACCACACCAGCTGCCAACTTTACCCTGCACTCATCACATATTTTTATGATGGGCAGGGCAGGCTAATTAAATCAAATTATCAAAGTAATGAGTGTCATATTACAAAATTTTGAAGCTGTAAATTAATCTACTGCAGTAAACTGGATGAAGTCATAAACCCAGCCTGCTCTAAAAGATCAAGTTTTTAAAACAGAGTGGTATTCTCAATTGAAATTAATAAATCGGCTGTAGAAGCAAAATTGGGTTGACAAACGGACGGACGGACGGTATTTGCCGCTGATGGGCACTTCGATAATGAAATCCAGAAGTGATAATTAACTTGGCCTTCACTTGGTGAGCCAGGTAAAGAAAGGCTATTAGATCATATAGAGAATTTATAAACAAAAATACCAAGTGAATAATTTTTGCTTTGGCTCGTCAACAGTAAAGGTGGCAGCCTTAGAACACTGATAAACAAGACACGCTTTCTACACCCATAAAAATGGGTGTAAAGAAAAACTAAAGAAAAAGAGAAAGTAAAACAATCAAACTAATTACAGTAAGACAAAACAGGAAAATTAGAGGATAACAGGAGTATAAGATATTAGTGAGGAAGGGGGACATTACTGGACATGTATCATCATACTGACTAATGGGAAAAATAAGCAAAATGCCAGAGATATATTTAGAGTATTGTACTATAAAATAAGTATTATGCAAGTATAATACTATATACTTTATATACATATGTACAGAATATATGTGGTGCCCTTTAGCCATAGATGTCCAACTAGGCTAACATGATGACAACGATGTTATTGTTTACCTGCTGCATGTTCTCTCACGCCTCGCACCTACATCTCAAGCATTTATTAGAAGTGGCCTCCACTCGCACCTACATCTCGAGCGTTTATTAGAAGTGGCCTCCACTACCTCCACATTCAGCTAACGTGGACTCATCCATGCTTCCAATTTTCATCTGCATGCTCTTAATCAATTCTAACTTATCCTAGCATATATATTAAATAATCTGTCCACTTCGTCTATGTCTCTAATTATTTAGTATGTTGTAAGCAGGTCTCCTCTGGTTCGTCTCGTTTCTAGGATCAAGAGTACAGTTTCTTTAGTGAATCCTCATACGTGGCTCTCTTACATTTTCTACCAGTCTAGTGGTATAACTATAATATTCAGAATTATTCCTTGTTCAAGTTCTTGTGTGTGGTTCTTACACTTGCCTGCTTTCTTATGCCACTGAAATTAGTGTGTGTATGCTTCTGGAGACAGATTTTTAAACTGATTCAAAATTTTAACATGTAATCTGCCTGCCCATTTATTCACTAATAAATTTAGTAACTATAAATCATAGAAACTATGCAGATTTGATAGACATGATTTTTATAATCTGAAGCAATATCATTAAGGTTCTGTCATTAAGATGTCAAACCAACTTTCCTCTTTTTTCATTAAAAATTGTAGTTGTCAAGGTGCATTTTCCAACAACTTCACAAATACTATACAGTTGTTAATGAGTAGTCTACAGGCTAAATAGTTTCCTCTTTGGAAGTGAGACTATACAAATTATGTTGACCAGACCACACACTAGAAATTGAAGGGACGACGACGTTTCGGTCCGTCCTGGACCATTCTCAAGTCGATTGTCGCATTCACAATCGACTTGAGAATGGTCCAGGACGGACCGAAACGTCGTCGTCCCTTCAATTTCTAGTGTGTGGTCTGGTCAACATACTTCAGCCACGTTATTGTGACTCATCGCCTGCATATACAAATTATGATTACTGAATAACCAATTTACTCCACATATTTCATCACAATCGAAGGCAAGACCTTCTATATGCCTACTAATTTGTCTTTGCCAGTACTGTATCTAATAGTTTAGTTTAGTTCATTTATCATGCACCCCATACCCAACTTGTGGGCGGTAGTGGAAAGGGTTACAGAGGCACATAATGGGCTCAGGGACTGAACCCCACAATTCATTTAGCTAAGCAAGTTACAATCTTGATGTTACAATCTTGATCACTGTATCTAATACTGCAGCAGATCTTGACTTTTTCTCGACCTACTTCTATGAATCTTAATTTTGTTTTGGTTATTATATAACTAAGTCTGGAGTATTGAAATTCTTTCCCTTACATATACAAACAGTTTCACAGGACAACCTTGACCAACAAACTCCTGGACTCTGACTACCACACAACTCTTTACTACACAAAACTGATGGAGACATTGATGTGTTACCATCGTACAAAACTACTACAGGGTCAGCTAAGCTCCAACATTAACACAAATAAGAGAGGCTGTATATACGAAACAGTCTGTCCGCGACTTCTTTGTCGTCATCCTGAATAATTATGCTTAATGTGATCAGGTCTCCTCTGGTTCTTTTATGGTGACATGAGGGTTAAGTGTATCTAAATTATGTACGCTAAACATATCTTTGGCTTAATTCCACTGCTCCCTTCAAAAGTAACACATGCTTTGGCAGTCATTACATACACGAAAGATTGTGTCTGCAACAGAGACAAACTTTCTCAACAATTTACCAACTGTAAGCTTAGCACACATCTCTAGCGATAATGGTGAGCAAGAATAATCCAGGTCACACAAAAGGATCTTAACTAAGGCTATGTAATCATTAAGGTTGGCACGTTTTGGTTAATCACTATGTGTTATAAATATATTAAATTACCACATAGATGCATTTGATCACAGGAGGAAATCCCAGGAGCACATTATTACTGCATGCTTTTGAAGGTCAAACATTGGCTATACTACGTAACGACAGACTCTTCAAACACAAGGGTTTCAATATACAGTATAATGCTGTACAGTCATCTCCAGAGGAGAGATGATGATGATGATAATTCATTATTAAAATACCATAATTTAGCTAAGCTTAGCAGAGCTTAGAAACTAACCACTAAATACTTAACTTCGATATACGATAATGATCAGTAACACTAGATGATATAATAGTTCTTAATGACAAAATTAGTTCTTGAAATAATATAGAACAGTAAACAACAAAAGGTAATTACAGTACAATAGTAATATAGTCATTGTATATATATATATATACAGTATACAGAAGAAAAGCTAGAGGAGATACAGTGTACCTTGAAAGATGAATTATGTAATCGGACAACTTGTGTAAACAGGTTAATTATGCACCTAGCAACAGGAGCAACCAAGCCTTCCCTGGGAGTTAAATAAAGCATATACAGCATGAACAGAGTGACTCAATAGACAACTAAGACAACTGCGATCATACTGCGATCATACTGCGATCATACAATAAACTTATTTCAATTTCAATTTCAATTTCAAGACAACTGCGCTCTTCACCCGATTCATGTTCACTCAAGACAAGGTAAATCACAGCTCCGTTACAGCCCTGTATGTTTCCCGACTCGTACTCATTCAGACGAGGGTGATCACCTCCCATAACAGAGCTACAGTGATACAACCTAAAAAGCATCACTACATAGTCTATGATAATAATAGATATCTAATCTCTGTTTTATATCTTAACATGACTACTACTATCACCTACATGATAGCTGGGCACCAATATTTTGGACTGGCGACTTCATGTTACAATCTATCTGCGTAATTGTTCTGTTCGAATAAATGTGCAAGTGCATCGTCTGGAAGTGTACATCTGGCATCGGCAGTTGCCCGAGTAGCCTAATTTACATTGGTGACCTTGAGGCAATTCATGGATGACACACTAGAGGGAAATGTACTATACATGTATGTACATGTACACTGAACATATGTCAGGTAACATACATATATACAATATGGAATGCTGGAAACATTTATGACAAATTCATGATAAGTGTAGTGGTTGAGTAAGAGGAAATGGTCTAGGGATGTAAACAAAATTAAACTCGATCACTAAACATCAGAATTAGAAATTAAACATGGAATGGTTGAGTATAAAGTTGACATGAAGACTAGATTAATATAATTATGCTATAGTGTGATAAAATTGCTTCCATATAACACATAACAAGTTATGCAAATTAAAATAAATACTAATAAGTCAAATAAGGTGCCTGACAAAAAGTCTAAGAATAACAGTGTTTAATTGTTTCAAGAGAATATTAAGATAGTTACAGTTTCTTAAGAGATAAGGAGAACATCAGTTACAGTGAACCAACATCACCTTATCTCCACTCTCATCTTATCTTGTGCTCTAACTACCTCTCAAAACTCATTCAGAAAACCTCACTCTACAAAATAATAATTTCCTTCAAAATCTCAAGACAAAGAAACACGCCTACATAAACATATTCAATAACAAAAATAACTTCCGCAGACTAGAGCAGCAGACTAAGAAGTGCTACATGTTTCACTTACACTTACAACTTGCACAACTTATCAAATGTCTAACTCAGAAACCAGGTTATTACTTTCATGTGATAATTATTTGTCAAACTATTCTATAGCAAATAATTTAAAAGGTAATTTAAAATAAAAAATGGAGCGTTTAGGAAAAGGGGCAGTAATGTACAAGATGCAAATGTTCATCATTTACCCAAAGATGGTCTTATATGTGACATCACAATAATAATAATAATAATAATAAAAATAATAAAAATAATAAAAATAATAATAATAATAATAATAATAATAATAAATCATACTAACGTGCTATATATTAATGAGAAAAAATCAATTGGAGCACCGAGGTGACTGGATCCAGCAATCAAGGTACTGTACTCCGAGCCGTGCACCTTACCCCCTTGAGATTTTGAGAAGCAGGGTAAGATGATGAGATGATCTTGAGATGCATGGTACAGGGTACCCCTGTACCATGACTTGGTAAAAGTTGTACAATGTGGGATTCCACTGAATCCACAGGAAGTCTGGAGACTTCCCACTGAAGCCAGTCCAAGTTTTACATATAACCCCCAAACACGCTTCTGTAGGTAAAGTAGTTCATCAACCATACAAG